AACACAGACAAAACGAGTATTCAACTGGTACACGATTAATAATAATGTCAGTATTAACAAACACTGACAATACTACTGATTGTATGTGGCTAATTGATACACATTGACGTAGAATACTGATGTAATGTGGATTTTGATTTCCGAGCATTAGGCCCTGCGCATAATAGAAGGAATAAGGAATTAGGAATAAAAAATGAACGATTTTAATTAACTTATCAGAAATCGAATATATCGGAATACAGGGTTTCTAATAGGATGAAATCGTTTATTAGAGCCTGCACACAATAGAACAAATATTAGGAACAGGAATAAATATTAAGATTTCAACCTATCAGATACCAGTTACACCGAAATACACGATTTCTAGTAGGTTGAAATCTTAATATTTATTCTTATTCCTAATATTTTCTCCATTGTGGGCAGGCCTTAGTATCGCTGTGTAGTGGGGATGTTGACAGTAATACTAAGTGTGTGAAGAGGGCGCGTCAGTATTTTCGTTAGTCTAATTTGTAATCAGGATTGGACATGTATTGAACATAACATGTATTATACATAGTTTTTTACCGTATATGTAATACCATATGTTACACGTACGTTTTGTACGTATTATACATAAGAAACTATTCGCAGTTCTAAATTGCCCAACCTTGTCTGTAATTATTGACAAAATAACCTTGAAAAGTAGATACATTAAACCATCGTTTACGTTTTATTCTTTTTTTGTAAATAATGCTAATATTATAGTAATACATGCTTTTTCTTTATTATTTCATGTCACAGTACATTAGATAACGCAAAACTAAAATATTGTCGATAATATTGATAATGCAAGGTTATAAAAATATTGATACATAGTCAGTATTATTGATTTAATATTACTGATCAGTATTATTGATCGCGTAGGGTCGCTTTAAGAGGATATTGTTCTACAATATTGACGAAATGCGTATTTCGTACTTTTCCATTTTTTAATTTTTTTTACAGAAATTATAGAATAAAAAAGTCCTCCAGAATAAAAGAAAAAAGCAAAAAGCTGCAGAAAATTACAAATCTATATGAAAAAATGTGTATAAATTCACAGATTCCTGCTACCACATAGATTATTTCTTTACATAACATAAATATTTCAAGTATGATATATATATATATATACATAAAGTTTTTGAATAACATAATGAAAATTATGATTTTGAAGCTTATAAGAGAATTAAATGGAAAAGCACAATCTGAGTTTACACATTTGCATTCCATGCAATATATAGAATATATTATAACAAAGCATGAAATGTACATGTTTTACTTAATGTAATGTTTTACTTTAGAATCAGTTTTATCGACATTGATCAAGCTCAATCATCGCTGCAGCACATCTCCTTGAGCTCCAAAATTCAACTGAAATTATAACTCAAAGAAAGAAATTATAACTCAAGTAACTTGAAAAGTAAATAAGCAACTTTAATTTGAAGATGAACAATATTGATAATATCAAAATCAGAAAATTTTTATTAGAATATTTTTTTTATATTCGGATTGAAATATATACACATATCCTATAAAATCACGCATCCTCTCTCATGCCTACTGCCTACGTGACTGTCATTAAAATAACCTAAAAATTCTGTTCATTCATCTATTGAGCCATGGAGAGAAAGGTTCTCCAAAATCTACATCGAGTCGATGTTCCGAATCAAATCGTGTTCAGTTATTAAGAATCCTCATGATTGCTGATGAAAATAATTAATTATACATCACGATGCATTTCTACATCACGATGCAACAACGCGCTGTATAGCCTGTCCGGCGAGTCGATAGAACGCGGCCATGTTAAGCGTCATCATTGCCGTCGTCGAAAAACCATTATAGGTAGGTACGGCTTCTTGAGAAACACAAAGCAGCATTGGACGAAAATGCTAGAATTTCGGAACTCCAATTTCGATGCCACGGACACGTGGGCATAACTCTGTCTCCAACAACGCGAAGCATGATTCACCGTCGTAGAATTCCTGCTAGTTTCCTTCATGCTCGCATGTGCAGATATCAAGAGAACGAATTCATCGTCAAAACCATACAGATTTAAAGATTTTTTTTTTATCGCTAAAAAACAACGGGGACTTCTTATGCGAAAACTGGCTGGCGCCGCCGCCCCTACACGCCACACCCTTTTCGACGCGTTCGGCATAGAATCGATTCTCAAACCAGCGAGCGAACGCAACTCACGACGCCCGATGTGCCAAAGACATTTTCGTCGCTCGGTCATCCAACGACGACGGACGAGTGTGACAAGGACATTCGCGTGCATTCCGTACGATTCTATTGTCGCGTATTTTCGAGAAAAACGGAGGCGTGGAACATGTCCGCCGCTTCCAAGCAGCTTATCATCGTTTCATGGAATTTCGTGACGGCGAAGATTTGCCGGTAGAACACGATATTATGATAATATTCGCTGATGATGATACAAGAGGTCTCATAGCAACAGGAGCGAGCGAGCGAGCGAGTAAGGAAGCAAGTAACGAACCGATCGACCGATTAACTGACCGACCGTTTGGGGCCGGCCGGCCGGCCGGGGCCGGCCGGCAGTCGTGCACATAGATATATATACGTGGCAATGTGGCATTACATTTCGGGGTTAGAAGCGATGCAAGTCGACATGCATGCCGCACGGCGCATTGCGGCGCTCCACAGTTCGGCTGGCTCACTTATTTGAACCGGTTCGTTTCGTGCTCGAGCCGAATGAGCTCGAACGAAAATCGCGCGGATAATCTCATCGGAGCATCTGTCCTCTCTCTTTCTTTCTTGCGCTCTCACTTCTTCTCGCTCATTTACACTCTGTCTTTCGCACTTCTCTCCCTCGCCTCGCGCCGACAAAGCGTGCTTCATGCTTTATCGGAGGGCTCTTTATTCCGCGCACTTTCCCTTTTATCGAGGGGGCGTGCTACCAAATCTATTTGTCCTGTCTATCCCTCGTTCTCGCTTCACGACTATCACTCACTCATTCCCTCTTTTTCTCCCTCCCCCTTTTCCACACCCTCTCACTCACTCTCTCTTTCTCTCTCATTCACTCTTTCTCTCGCCTTCTCTTTCTCTCTCTCTCTCACACACACATACTCTCTCTCTCTCTCTCTCTCTCTCTCTCTCTCTCTCTCTCTCTCTCTCTCTCTCTCTCTACCATTTCTTGGTACATTCTTTTGGAGCTGCTACTCACTTCGAAGCCTTCAGATTTCGCCCACACATTGCCATCGTGTCCGGCGATCGCCGCTTTGGTAACACACCTAGACGCGAGCAGCTGCTTATCAACGTAATCCTGCCAGCTCATTTTTGAACACAAGGAGGGAAGGAAAAGACGATGAAAACCGTTCACTACGATACACTGGACGACCGCAACCCGTCACCGACTGCCTCGTCTCGCAACTACCGATACGCGCTCTCCGAACTCCGAAACGCCGGTCGTTCCGCCAATCCCCCCTTTACAACACACTACTTCTTTGCCCCTCCCAACGTCTATTGCCGTCATCGCCAAGTCGTCCTTCACAGTTACATTGCTCCCTCTACCTGGTATTTCCATAACCAGCGGCACAAGAATTCTAGAAACATTTAAATGAATAGGTTTGTTTGCTTGAAATCCCCCAAAATTTTTGAACTTAAAATGAGATAGATATATTTTTGAGCGTTGAAAAGAGAGAAAGCAAAAATGTTGAACAAAGTGTAAGCAACGCGACAGACCTAATGTCTAGTTGATAATTTTCCAATAGCAATATTGTTAGACATTTTCAAGCATATGGCGATACAACATGCTTAGGTCTGTTCGCGTTGTTTGAAATTCCAAAAAATTTTTGCACTTGAAACGAGATAAGATCGAGTTCGAAAACATCATCCGAGTGGTCCGTATATCAGCTTAAGATGCGATTTCATGCGACACTAATATGCATTTTCAGTCCGATCGGATTTGCACCAACTTGGGTTAGAAAATGCTTCGCTATTGGTTGACGTTACATGCTCTACCAATAGGAGAGCATTACTTCAACCCAGATTAGTGCAAATTCGATTGGGCCGAAAACGCTATAAAACTCTTGATATGTTATCTCGTTATGTTCATGTTTACACCATGTAATGTAATTTTATCTATGGTTGACGCTAAAAAGTTCATTTCTATTCAACTTTCCAGTGTTGACAGGCTAATTTTGGTAATATAAAATTTATTTTATGCATTTTTGGAAAATTAGAAAATTTTGTTTATTAAAGTTCCAACATGCAAAGCGAAAAAAGAAAGTAAAGTAAATTAATAAACATAAAATAATACTTAGAATATTTGTCTAATATAATACGAGAATATATTATGTGAAATTTCTGTTTAAATTAAATTTACATATTCTGTCATCCATGCGTGATATTTATAATTAAACATATTGAACTTTAAATTCCAGAATAAATAACAAGTGATATACACGACAGAAACCTATTGTCTCTTCGCTACAAAGGTTAGACTGGGTTTTCACTGATACTATTATTTTGACGCTTATTTTCAGTGTCAAAATAAGTCACATGATCAAAATTGACGCTCGATATTCGTCAATTTCTATCACGTGGCTTATTTTGACGCTGAAAATGAGCATTAAGGCAGCATGTAAAGGCACTTTTTAATTTGATTTCTTGATGCTGGAAAAAGAGCGTTTCAATGTTGCATAAAAAGGAACCTTCATAACTCTTGAACCTTACGAACAATCTACAGACAGAGACGGCAAAGATTTAGAATCCTATATATAAAGAAACATTAATGTCCGAATTCCTGTTTGACAATCTGATATGTATTCTGATTGGATATCCCTTTCTAATGACTCCTTTAGAATATCGGTAAAGCTGTACATTCAGTGTAGATATCGCGTGTCGCGCGCGACGAATATCGCGCTGGTGTGCCAGAGGCTAAGGCTACATTCGAAAATTTCCTCTCCGAAGAAAATTTTATTCGAAATATATAGTACACATAACGTATACTATACATAGAATAAATCTTCGGAGATGAAGTTTTTGTAACGTAGCCTAAGTGAAGCAGCCATATGTGACCGCAGCTGATTACACAGGCTGTGTAACACAGCTGACACACTCAATCTCAACCGTTAATACAGAGTAGTGGTCATGTACCTCTTTCGCTAGAGCGAAAACGTGAGTAAAAATTTTTATGTATGTTCGCACATATACACATATACATACAAAGAATTTTCACTTTTCACTTTTCCGCCCTAGGGAAAAAGTTACATGATCGCTATCCTGCTCACTTCGGAATCGACGGAATACATTCTTCTTTTTTAATTTTGGCTCCTGTCTTTAGAAAATCAGGAAAATTAATAGCGCTACAACGAAGTACAGAGTGTCGAAAGTTGGAGCAAGATTGGAATATGTTTATTTTTTACGACACTGGAGCGGTCCAAATATAGAAGTGCAGAAGTGATGGTAGGGATCCGATTTGGTGGTGGGGGTTCGATGTCGGGTCTCTTTATATATAGGACTCTAATTTAGAGAGAGAGAGAGAGACACTGTCCAACTGCACACATCATAGGTCTGTTCGATTTGCTTACACTTTTTTACACTTCATGGAGTAAAAAAAAGATATCAAAAGGTTTGTTCGCATACTATACATGCTTCAACATGCTCCTACTATAGCTCCTACTCACTCTAACGAGCGCGTTTGAATGAATAAGAAGAATATATTGGGTTGGAGGTTGTAAGAGCATGTTGGAGCATGCGACGCGAACAAACCTAAATTCGAGGATAAAAAGTGTTCGAAACACAGTATCCTGAGGGAAAACCCATAGAAAATCGAGACGATGCGATTTTAGAACTGTTGCGGGAAAAGTTGAAAGTATATATCACATGAAAACGCGTACGGAATATACATGTATGCACGTTTAGTACAGAAATTTCAATTTATATAAAATTTATGTTTATTTGATTAAGTAGTAAATGCATTAATATTTATTGAAAAATACATACATTTATACATAGTCATAAATTATCATTAAATTATTGTTCTTTAACTTACTGATATCAAAAAACTTTGAAATTAAAAAGTATAAAAATAGGATTTTAATGACATTTTTTCTTTTCAGAATATATTTTACGCATGAAAATACACAAATTTACAGAATTACAAAATGGGAGGAAAAATATTTATCAAATTTTCTAAATTGATAGTTTTCTCCGACAGAAGCGTTCAAATTTGTTCTTCTGTACAATGTTTTTCCGACATCGTTTTGAACTCATTTTTTTAGGATCGGCCAGATTTGAGTTTAGTCTCCTTCTTTTTATTCTGTATTATACTTTTTATATCTAAAATGAAATAAATATATTGTATTGGGTCATCTAAAAAGTATCCGCGGTACTTTGTCACTAGATATATGACCATCAACACACATTTAGTGACAAAAAACCGCGGATACTTTTTAGATAATCCAATATTACAAACCTATATTTATAACTTCTCTCTTTGCATTTTTTCTCCGACATCAGCTGTAGTTGGAATCCTACAAAGTTACTAGGCCCGTTAAGTTAATTGGAGTTTGGTGAAAGTGGTCCTGACTTTAATATTGTATTGGGTCATCTAAAAAGTATCCGCGGTTTTTTGTCACAATAGTTAAAATTTTCATTTTTTATTTTAGAAATTTTCATTCTAGGGATAAAGTTTCATGATTGGTATCCTGCAGGAAAACAAACATCGTGTGCCGCAGGCTGAAGCAAATCGAACAGACCTCATGTTATCCTTTCTATCATGGTGAAATCTGATAAAATTGCTTCCATGCTTTCATGATGCTCTAGCTGGAAAAACAGATTGTGATAGTTAGATAAAGATTTTTAAAATATTTTTTTATGTAATTACATAAAGCCAGAATGCAGGTTTCCGCACCAAATAATATAAAAATCTATAATCTCAGCTCTGGAAAATCCCTTCCTGAGGTAAAATTTTGTTTATACAAAATTGTGTAAGATCGTGTTAGGTTAAGCATAACATCTCAACGTGTATTTTTATTCTTTATAGTGGTTATCTGAACGAAAACGAAGAAGTTTATCGAAGAATGTCGGTAAGAATTAGATCAATAAACATGCAAATAAATATAAACATTTAGTTTAAATTTTTTATTTAGATTTTAGTGAATTTATATGTACTTGTTTCTTTTTTATATCGAAAATAAGATTTGAAAAATAAAAATCGTCAATCGGTATTAAAATAAATACATGAATACTTAAAAAATATTTGTTTTTGTAATGTTATATAATGTAATTCATTTGTGTCATTAAAGAATATTGTTAACATATAAGAAATAATGAAATATGAATAACAGTTTTAAAAAAATTTTGTTCTGTTTGTACAACAAATAAAACAAGTAGAGGATTTTATTTAGACAGTTATTAAACCTTGCAATTAATTACTTAATTTGAATCTATAATTATATTTTAATAATTACTGTTTTTATATTAATAAGAGATAATAATTTTTTAAATCCGTTTACAAAAAGAAAACAAAGAGAAGTATCTTTATCAAAGTTTAAATAAAAATTTATAAACGAGATAGTTATGGCTCTTACTATTTCCAAATATATCTAATGTTTTATTTATTATCAGATATACGACGACGTATTGAACTTATACAAGATTTTGACATGCCTGGCATAAGCACATCTATTAGAGTTTCTAAAGATGAACAATACATTCTTGCAACAGGAATTTATAAACCACGTGTAAAATGTTTTGATGTACATAATTTGGCATTGAAATTTGAAAGATGTTTTGATTCTGAAATAATTACTTTTGAAACAATATCGGATGACTACAGCAAAGTAAGTATAATTGTTAAAAATCTGCAAAATAATTTATACAAAGTACGTAGATGCATGTGCATGTTCTATTATTTTAAATTTTTAGTTATTAATTTAGTTAATTTAATTAAAATAATGAATGTAATAGTGAGCAAAAATGGTGACTTTATTCATATTGTTGGCCATGTTATTTAATAGCATAATAGATTTTTATGATACGTTGTAATATTAAAAATATTTTAAAGAAATTTTTATAATATAAAGTTGGACATATTTAATATAATTTTTTAAGTTAATATTTTTTCACTGATAAGAACAAAATGATTGATGGCGACACAAAATAGATATCATACTGTAATCAAAATGTACGACTAAATATGTATAATATATTTTTATAACTTCCTTTAGACATAAACAAAGAAAAGAAAATTAATAAAATATGATTTTCATAAAAAATTTTTTTTATAACTTGTATTTTATGCTTGACAATTAAATCTTCTAGTATGTATTCTGTGATTGTGTGTTTTTGAATAACATTAAAAAACTACATCCATAACTATACTAGAAAATAAAGTAAAATGAAGAATTTAAGTCACTCATTTTTTTTGCTCGCTACTAATATAAAGATTGACTTGAATCAAAATAATTTCATTGATTTTATCATGGTCTTTTTTAGATAGTATTTCTGCAATGCGATCGTAGCATTGAGTTTCATGCTGCTCATGGAAAGTATTATAAGCTCAGAGTACCAAACTTTGGAAGAGATCTAAAATATCATTATCCATCATGTGATGTTTTCATAGTAGGCGACAGGTCAGTTTTAGAAATCTTAAGCAATTACATAATATTATGATCATTATTTAATTAAATTTACGATATAAAGATGCGTGCATGCGTACGTACGTACGTACATACGTACAGTGTTCAAAAAAGGGGATTTGATTGATATTGAATCGGAACTATATTTATCTGGATGTCATTCATTAAATATTCTTGCAACTGCATATTTTCTACATTCACTAAAAGTTATTCACAATTTGTAGATTACTGTAATTAGTCATTATGCTCATTATTACGAATTTTACACTGAGTAGCAACACTTCTCTATTGAGGCTATTTTATTTTACTATGAATTTGTGATCAAGTTTAACCTTGAATATCTTTGTGTAATATATCCCGGATTTACTCCGGAAATTCACGCTCACACTATAAGCATCATTTCATTCTTGTTGTCTATCAAATATTAAGCAAAGACAAATGATGCTTACAGCGCTGTAAACATTGATATGCATCTATAATGTGAAAAAAGGTTTTTTCTTATGTGTAATATACTAAATTGTGTTGTGCTCAAGATATAATCCATAATATTGAATCGGAACTATATTTATCTGGATGTCATTCATTAAATATTCTTGCAACTGCATATTTTCTACATTCACTAAAAGTTATTCACAATTTGTAGATTACTGTAATTAGTCATTATGCTCATTATTACGAATTTTACACTGAGTAGCAACACTTCTCTATTGAGGCTATTTTATTTTACTATGAATTTGTGATCAAGTTTAACTTTGAATATCTTTGTGTAATATATCCACGAACTTATCTTAAAAAGGGTTGTCAAACAATGAAATAAAAAATTTTATTTCATTAAAAAGAATGAAGTCGACTTTGAAATGTCCCCAACGCCTTTACTCATAAAATAATTATTTCCACTATATGATGTCTCCTTTTGTACTGAACACATTGGTACTATTTTTTCATATATCTTCTTTCGCTAATAATTAAATCAGTCGCTTTATACAATCACCCTGTGTACATCTAACAGGGGATATTTCGTAACAGTTTGGAATCAATTTGATTCTCCTTGAAATGGATCCTATATTGTTAAACATAAAAATTTAAAAGACACATATTTTTTATATATGCAAGATCTCATGTTTAAGGGATAAAACACTCCTTCGAAAAAAAACGATTTTTCTTTTTTGGGATAAATATCGTTGGAAGTATAAAAAACAAAAAAATTTTTTAAGCAAAAGTTGTGTGGTTTTAGAAGTACTTTAAAATGGTAAAGAAATAAATATTTTGTTTAAAAAAAAAATTTTTTTTTTCTTATATTTTTGATGATATTTGTCTTGAAAGAGAAAAGCAGATTTTTTTTCAAAGGAGTGGTTTCACCCTTTAAACATGAATTTCCAAACGTATTAGGTGTTGGAATTAATTCGTAGCGTTTTTTAATGAAAGAATGTTATTTATTTCACATGAGCATTAAAAAATACATTAATGAAAGTACTTCCCATCACTTGTAAAACGCTACGAATTAATTCCAACACCTAATATAAAAAATATAATATGTATAAAATACATATCTTTTACATTTTTGTGTTTAGCAATATGTTTCAAGATGAATTAAATCGGTTCTGAACAATTGTGAAACATCTCTTGTAAGATGAAAAAAATTATTATGGAATCTGTTTTTGCAGTAATAAGATATATAGGATAAATCTCGAACGTGGTCAATTTTTGCAATCGTTTGAAACGGAAGCTACATCGATAAATAAGTGCGAGATAAATCCGTTGCATCATTTACTCACAGTTGGCACTCAGGAAGGAAAAATAGAAGCTTGGGATCCGAGAGTGAGGAATAAAGTGGGCATACTTGATTGTGCCCTACATTGCATTACTCAAGAGAAGTAAGATATAACAATAGAATTTACTAATCTTCTTGATGCTTCCATGGGTGCTTTCTATATAACTAATCTGTGCTTCGCGGGTTTTCTCCATGTCTTGGTCCATTCTTGATGTGCCAACGTTTCGTGGGCCTTGCAGTCCACTTCATCAGGGCGAGGAGCAGCCTGATACTGAGCTGTTTCTCCAGGTCCTTCCTTTTTTATGTTACGCTACTTGTTGAGGTGGGAGATTTTGGTGGAGGGGGGGGGGGTTGGGGGGGGGGGGGGGCGGGACAGGGGG